AATTTTCCTCTCCATCCTGACTGAACTCCCACAGTGAGTAATACATAAAGTTCGTGTACAGGTTTTTGTGTGGATGTGTTTTCAGATCTCTTTGATGCACACCTAGGAATGGTGGAATTGCTGCTTCATGTGGTATTTCACTGCTTAGCCTGTGGGGGAACTGCCAGATTGTTACACAACTTTACATTTCTACTAGCAGAGGATGAGTTTGCCACTGTTTCCACCTGCTTGCAGTTATTTTCTGGTGGTTTTTTTTTTTTTTTTTTTTTTTTTAGAGTCTTTCTCTGTTGCCCAGGCTGGAGTGCAATGTTACTTCCCCACTGAACCTTCCTTGAAGTGACTCCTCCTCCCTCAAGCCTCCAGTAGTAGCTGGGATTTACAGTGCGTGCTGCTACCCGTCGCCGCCTAACTTTTGGGGGTTTCACCATGTTGGCCTGGCTGGTCTTCAATTCCTGATCTCAAGTGATCCACCTGCCTCGGCCTCCCAAAGTGCTGGGATTACAGGCTTGAGCCGCTGCGCCGGCCCTAGTTAGATCCTTTGCCCGTTTTTAAGTTGGATTCTGTTTTTATTAATGAGTTGTAAGAGTTCTTTATATACTCTAGATGAAAGTTCTGGCCAGGCGCCAGAACATAACATGTTTGGATGTATGTATACATTGTGACATGATGGTCACACTCAAGTTTGTTAACATATCCATCACCTCACATGGTTATCCTTTCTTTTTTTTTTTTTTGCATGTGTAATGAGAATATTTAAGATCTACTTTCCAACCAAATTTCAAGTGTACAATAGAGTGTTATTAACTGTCAACACCAAGTTGTACACTAGATCCTCAGAACTCACTCGTCCTGCCTAAAGGAAACTTTGTACTCTTTAATCAACATCTCCCTATTTCCCCCACCCTCCAGCTCCAGCAACCACTGTGCTACTCTCTGCTTCTATGAGTTCAAGTTTTTAATATTCCACATCTAAGTAAGATCATGCAGTATTGGTGTTTCTGTGTCTGGTTTATTTCACTTAGTGTAATGCTCTCCAGGTTCATCCATGTTGCCCTAAATGGCAGGATTTCCTTTTATAAGGCTGAATAATATACCATTGTATATACCACATTTTCTTTATTCGTCTGTTTAAGGACACTTAGTTGTTTCCATGTCTTTGCTACATAATTAATAAACACACACACACACACACACACACATAATAGTGCTGTAATGAACATGGGAGTGCAGCTATCACTTTGAGATACTGCTTTCATTTCCTTTGGATATATGCCCAGAAGTAGAATTGCTGAATCATAACATGTTTTTAGTTTTTTTCAGGACCTTCCATATTGTTTTCCATATTCGCTGTACCAATTTACATTCTCACCAATAGCAGACAAGGGTTCTCTTTCCTCCACATCCTCACCAACACTTTTTATCTTTTGTCTTTTTGATAATAGCCATCCCAACAGGTGTGAGGGGATATCTTACTGTGGCTTTGATAAAGTTTTTAATTTTGATGTAGTCAGTTTGTTTAGTTTTTCTCTTGTTGTGTGTGCTTTTGATGTCCTAAGATTTTGCTTCACCCCAGGTCCTGAAAATTTACTCCTGTATTTTCTTCTAAGAGTTTTTTTAGTTTTAGCTCTTCCATTTGGGTCTGTGATTCATTTTCAGTTAATTTTTACATATGGTTTGAGATAGGACTCCAGCTTTATTCTTTTGCATGTCAGTATCCTGTTGTAGTTGCGCCATTTGCTGAAAAGTCTGTTTTTTGGTCTCTCTTGTCAAAAATCAATTGACTATGAATATAAATGTTTATCTCTAGATAGATAGATACATCCTTATGCCAGTACCATGCTGTGTTGATTACTGTATGTTTTGAAATCAGAAAGTGTGAATCCTCCAACTTTGTTATTTGTCAAGATTATTTTGGCTGTTGTGGGTCCCTTGGATTTCCTTTTTTTTTTTGAGACAGAGTCTTGCTCTGCCGCCCAGGGTGGAGTACAGTGTCGTGATCAGAGCTCACTGCAGCCTCAACCTCCCAGGCTCAAGCGATCCTCCCGTCTCAGTCTCCTAAGTAGCTAGAACTATAGGTGTGAACCACCATGCCTGGCTAATTTTTGTAGTTTTTTGTAGAGACAGAGTTTCACCATGTTGCCAAAGCTAAGCGATTCTCCCAAGTCAGCCTCCCAAATTGTTGGGATTATAGGCATGAGCCACCAGGTCTGGCCATGAATTTTAGGATCAATCTATTTCTGCAAATAGATTGATGGTTTTTTTTAATAGACTTTATGTTTTAGATCGTTTTACTATTCATAGCAAGACTGAGCAGAAAGTATAGAGTTCCTATGTGGCCCCTATACCACACATACGTAACTTCCCTCTGTTATTAATGTGCCCCACCAGAGCACATTTGTTATAATGAGCCAATACTGATATGTCATTATCACCTAAAGACCATGGTTTACATTAGGATTCAGTCTTGGTGTGGTACGTTTTATGGGTTTGTACAAATATATAATGACATGCATATGTCATAATAGGATCATACTAGATAATCTCTTAGAATTTCTTTGTGTTAACTAAGTCTTCTGATTATTCTTAAATGAACATGTGGCCAGGAGCGGTGGCTCACGCCTGTGATCCTAGCACTTTGGGAGGCCGAGGTGGGTGGATCACCTGAGGTCAGAAGTTTGAGACCAGCCTGGCCAACATGGCAGAACCCCGTCTCTACTAAAAGTACAAAAAAATTAGCTGGACGTGGTGGTATGCGCCTATAATCCCAGCTGCTCAGGAGGCTGAGGCAGGAGAATCGCTTTAACCCTAGAGGAAGAGGCTGCAGTGAGCCAAGATCGTGCCACTGTACTCCAGCCTGGGTGACAAAGTGAGACTCTGTCTCAAAACAAACAAACAAACAAAAACTAAGTAAATAAAGTAAAATGAACATGCTTTGCTAGTGCAGTTTTTTAAGTTAAAAGTATTGTTTTAAACTTTGCACTGGTCGTGTATTTTTTTCCTGGAAATACTTGAAAGTGATTGGTCAAAAATGTCTTCTTATATTTATTCTTAGTATAGTTCAGTGAAATTAGAGAATAAAGTATCCTTTCTTACATATGCAGAGATTTAGGACAGTGTTTGTGACTTAGGTAAGTTTCGTGGCCAGCAGATAAATCACAATTAAAATCTGGATCCACTGTTAGTTTTATGTACTAGAGTAGTGGTCCTTAAATTAAGAAATGTGAATAGGTTCCAAAAAAGTCAGGTAAATGCAGAGTTTTTAGAAATGCATTATCCATTGCAGATTTCAACTAAATAAACAGTGTAAAAAACAAACACTAAAGTGACTAGAAACAAATATGCACAACGCAAGTTTCAGTCCTCAGAGCTACAGAGTCAGAATCTTGGGAAGTGGTGCCCAGCTTCTGTATGGCCAAAAACCTGCCCTGTGATTCTGATCTTGAGTCCAATCTTAAAGCTGCTCCGTGATAATTCTTTAGGGAAGTCAGTGCTTTGCTGATTGTTGGTTGTCTCAAGAGCCTAACAGTTAATCATGCCTTTTGAAGTACTTTGTTGTTTTGTTTGATTCTATTTTTTTTCCTCCTTTTCATGTTTTTGTTATACGAGCTGGAAAATGTGCTGAGGAAATGCAACTGTAGAATATATTTAAGCACTTGAAATAAGCATTTTATTTATAGGGCAAATTTAGTGCATGCCTTAAGCATTTTAATCTGAAACTTCTATCCCAAAGTGTTCGTTTACTGGCATTATTGACAAGGGGTATTTTGGTTGAAGGACTGTTTTAGAATGTTTGTTTTATTAACTAAAATCTAATTAAGTACTCTTAAATTTTTTTCTTTACAGAAAAGTCTTTTAAGTTATGTGTCACCAAGGAGATGCTCCTTCTTAGTATCACAACTGCTTATACAGGTAATGGAATTACGGTTCTTGTTTTCTCTTGCTTCATAATGATAATAAGGGGTTGAAGACAATAGTCACGTTATTATTTCTCACAATTCTGTGCATTGACTGGGCTCAGTGAATGGTTCTTCTAATGGTGTCACTTGGGGTCTCTTGTGGCTGGTTTCCTTCACATGTCACCTTCACTGTGGTCAGATGAAAGGCTGAGTATCTCTCTTTTTGTGTAGTCTCAGAGCTGCTCTCCATCTACACAACCCCCTCTATAAGATCACCTTGTGACCTGGCAGTATAGCCAGACACCTTAGTTAATGGACTGATGGCTCCAAAAAAGGCAATGGGAAAGAATACCAGACTTTCTTAAAGCTCAGGCTGCAGTCTAGCCCAACATCACTTCTAGTGGATTCTGTTGGTGACAGCAAATCACAGGGTTGGCCCAAATTCAATGTGGAAGGATTCCGCACAAGGTTCAGAAAAACCAGGACACATGGCTCATTGGGACCAGTGGTTTTAGGGCAACACAGAGCACTACAGAAAATAACCATGAAGAAATTTGTAACTTTATGTGGATTAAAATCATTTCTGGACAGGTGTAGTGGCTCATGCCTGTAATCCCAGCACTTTGGGAGGCTGAGGTGGGTGGATTGCTTGAGCCCAGGAGTTCAAGACCAGCCTGGGCAACATGGCGAAACCCCATATCTACTAAAAATACAAAAAATTAGCCAAGTGTGGTGGTGCATGCCTGTAGCCCCGGCCACTCAGGAGGCCGAGATCAGAGGATCACCTGAGCTCAGGAAGTCAAGGTTGCATGATCTGAGATAGCACCACTATACTCCAGCCTGGGCCACGGGAGTAAGACCTCTGTCTCAAAAAATAAAAAAAAAAATAAAATAAAAATAATTTCTAATGAAATAGAAGCATGTCATAATGTGGTATGATAACAGGTGGAGTACCCGTAAGTCAAGAATGATAAGGAAATTTGTTTTCTTTTAAAAAATGCTGTAATTTGCTCTTTTCCTTTTATGTGCAACATATTTTTAGGTGAAATAGAATAAACATTAAACATCTTTAACAGTTAAGGTTTTGTAGCATTAGGGAATCAAGGTCCCCTACTGATTTACTCTAATTTTTTAATCTTAGGAATTTTCTTTTCCTAGAAAAAAGGGTTTAATTAAAACATTATGGTGCTTTTTAGACACATTGTATAGTATGTATTGGCTTTCCATTACAGTGAGAATATAATCCAATAGGGGCCGGGCACAGTGGCTCATGTCTGTAATCCCAGCACTTTGGGAGGCTGAGGTGGGCAGATCACATGGGGTCAGGAGTTCGAGACCAGCCTGGCCAACACGGTGAAATGCCTAAAAATGGAAAAATTACCCTGGTGTGGTGGTGCACGCCTGTAATCCCAGCTACTTGGGAGGCTGAGGCAGGGAGAATTGCTTGAACCTGGGAGGCAGAGGTTGCAGTAAGCTGAGATAGCACCACTACACTCCAGCCTGGGCAACAGAGTGAGACCCTCTCTCAGAAAAAAATAGGAATGTTCGTGTTTCTTTGGAAAGCTACTAACAAGGTTAATGAGCACGTTAGTCTTCACTATTACAAAGTTACGTTAATTATCACCTCTGCCCATCTCCACCTGTATGGAGAGTGATAGGTTTTAACGTAAGGATATCTGTTCATTTGAGTTATATACTTTTATCTGAAATATATGGCAGATGCCGTCTTGTGGTATCTTAATTTTAGCTGCTATAACAAATTTCCATAGACTGTGTGGCTTAAACAACAGACATTTATTTCTCACAGTTCCGGAGGACACAAACATTTAGTCCATAGCATGAAGCTAATTCCATTTCATCAGTTACATCACATCAAATTATGCTCTGCTTGGGGATTAATATTTCAGTCTCTATGAGTTTTGTTTTGTGTGTTTTACTACTCAAGTATTCTTTTGTCAGATACTACTAGATGGGAAGATAAACAAAAATGTGAGTGTATAAATTACATCTTTTTTTTTTTTTAACTGAAGGTCTGGAATTAACTTTCTTCTCTGGTGTATATGGAACCTGTATTGGTGCTATAAATAAATTTGGAGCAGAAGAGAAAAGCCTTATTGGACTTTCTGGCATTTTCATCGGCATTGGAGAAATTTTAGGTTGGTTTTTAAAAAAAAGCATTAGCATTAAAAATATTGGTTTATTATGGGTAAAATAGAAATTTTAAGTGCCCCTCACCTTTGTCCTTGAATTTCTGTTTTTTTCTACTTATTTTTACCCAAACATGTATGTTTTTATTTTTCTATTATTGCTATTCTTTTTTTGAGACGGAGTCTCACTCTGTCGCCTAGGCTAGAGTTGGATTGCAGTGGCGCGATCTCGGCTCACTGCAAGCTCTGCCTCCCAGGTTCACGCCATTCTCCTGCCTCAGCCTCCCAAGTAGCTGGGACTACAGGTGCCTGCCACCATGCCCGGCTAATTTTGTTTTTGTATTTTAAGTAGAAACGGGGTTTCGCCGTGTTAGCCAGGATGGTCTCTATCTCCTGACCTCGTGATCTGCCCTCCTCGGCCTCCCAAAGTACTGGGATTACAGGCGTGAGCCACTGTTCCCGGCCTATTACTGCTATTCTAATATGACTAAATTATGAAATATTTGCAAAATAATTCACAGATGGAAACCCTGTGTTAGAAAACACACAGTGTCTCCCCACTTTTCCTCTTAAAATATTTAGAATGTCTTGGAATTCCTGACTCTGATTCTCTGATTCCCTGACACCAACTGGGTGTCCAACAGCTCAGTCCTGTTCTAACACTTAACTATCCAGAGTTAGCGTCAGATTCCACAGGTTTAAGGGTTCAGTCCTACAGACAGACAGACAGACAGACAGTCATGGGTCCATAGGTCTCTCAGGCACATCTCTCTGACTTGGGTACAAATTTGGAGGTTCCTACAGCCCTCTTCCCCCTTCAGGTTTGATAATTTCCTAGAGCAACTCACAGAACTCAGGAAAATGCTCTCCTGACTATTAGAGTTTATTATAAAGGATACAGATGAGCAGCCTGATGAGGAGGTGCAAAGGGTGGGGTCTGAAAGGGTCCCTAAGTGCAGGAGCCTCTGTCTCCATGGATTTTGGGTTCACCACTCCAGAAGCTCCTCTAACCCTTTTTAGGGGGATTTATGCAGATCCTGTTACATAGGCATGATTGATTAAATCATTGGCCACATGGCCTGGTGCAGTGGCTCATGCACTTTGGGAGGCCGAGGTAGGAGGATCGCTTGAGCCCAGGAGTTCGAGACCAGCCTGGACAACATAAGGAGACCCTGTCTCTTAACAACAACAACAAAAAACAATCATTGGCCATTGGTGACTGATGTAATCTCCAGCCTTCCCTCCCTGAAGGGGGAGTGAAGGGGCCTAGAAGTTCCAGCGCTTAGGGCTTGGTCTTTCTGGACACCAGCCCCATCCTGAAGCTCTGTCCCAGGCCAACCCCTCTGTCCCCAAGAGTTGCCCCCTTAACATAAACTTTGGTATGATTGAAAGTGGCTCCTTCTGAATAACTAATGTCCCTTATATCACTGAGGAAATTCCAGACCTTTTAGGATTTCTGTGCCAAGAACTAGCAGCAAAGACCAAATAAGTATTTTTATTATGCTCCACTAGTTACTCTTATTCAACAAAGATTTGTTCAGCACTTGCAGTATATTGAATATTGTGTTAGATATGAGGAACTTCAACAAAGATTTATTGTAATCTGTCATGTCAACAAAACAGACAAAAACACCTGCCCACGTAGAGCTTATATGCTACTCAGGAAGAACACAGACAATAAAAACAGAAGACTTTGCATGTCAGGCAGTGGTGAGCACCGTGGCTCAAGTGGACTTTGGAGGGTTTGTTTGTTTTTGTTTTTTGGTCCCTGCCTTATTGCCAACACCTGGAGCAGGACAAGGTCTATATTATTGGGCATCCAATAGATGAGTTAAATGTGTTGAATGAATAATGAGAACATGGTTTCAGCAGAACTTAGTCACCGGTTGCATGGCGGGGTGAGGAGAGGTGTCTAGAATGATGACCAGGTTGATGAGAGTAACCTGGGCAGAGAAAATGCTGTAGGAGATGGGGTTTGGGGAGATCTGCTGAATGGGATTTTGAACACCTCTAAGTACCAGAGAGGCACCCACATAGAGAAGTGTCCAGTGGGAAATGCAGGCTGATGCTCAGGAGGGACTCATGGGCCGGAGACTGATGTTGGGAGTTAAGGGTATATAAATGGCAGACGAAGCTTAGCCATGGTGAGTCGGTGCAGAGTACTCTGTCTGGTAAGTGCTTGTTTAGTGTCTGCCTGTAGACCACCTGGGAAGAAACTCACTTTCTGTAGGCTGCCTGCTTTTTTGAAAAAATAATTTCAAATTGATAAGAAATTGCAAAAATAGGCCAGGCGCAGTGCTCACGCCTGTAATCCTAGCGCTTTGGGAAGCTGAGGTGGGCAGATTGCTTGAGCTCAGGAGTTTGAGACCAACCTGGGCAACATGGCAAAACCCCATCTCTACAAAAAAAGTACAAAAATTAGCCAGGTGTAGTGGCGTATGCCTGTAGTCCCAGCTACTTGGGAGGCTGAAATGGGAGGTTGCAGCCCAAATCACACCACTGCACTCCAGCCTGGGCGACAGAGCAAGACTTTGTCTCAAAAAAGTCAAAAAACCAAAACAAAAAGAGACATTGCAAAAATAAGAATAGTGCAAAGAACATCTGAGTATCCTTTAACAGGATTCACCTATTGTTAACACTTTCCCTTATTTACTTTTTCTTTTTTTTTTTAAAGACAGAGTCTTGCTCTGTCACCCGGGCTAGAGTACAGTGACTCGGTCTCGGCTCCCTGCAACCTTCGCCTCCCGTGTTCAAGCAATTCTCCTGCCTTAGCCTCCCAAGTAGCTGGGACTACAGGCACCCGCTACCACACCTGGCTAATTTTTGTATTTGTGGTAGAGATGGGGTTTCACCATGTTGGCCAGGCTGGTCTTGATCTCCTGACCTCTTGATCCACCCATCTTGGCCTCCCAAAGTGCTGGGATTACAGGCATGAGCCACTGCACCCGGCCCTCCTGTCAGTATTTTTGAACTTTGTTCTTAGATGTAGTTCATTTCATTGAAAACAGCGTACCTTTTAAGATTTGTTGGGCAAGACTGCAGCATTACTCAGTCTAGGGCTAATTATTTCCTGCTTCTAAGGGAAGACCCTTCTGTGTGCTCCACCCAGTTCCTGTGAATCATAAGCTTTTAAGTGGCTGGTGGGCCAGACACTATACCCAGCCGAGGGCGGGGCCCTAGTACCACTAATCCTCTTGGCTGGTTCTTTCCCTGGCTTCTGCTAATTTGCTCCCTTTATGTGCTGATCAGTCCCCAGCTGAAGAGTCAGGGGGACTGTCTGCAGCTCTCTGGAATTGTTTTTCTGTGTCGCTCTCCTTTCTGATACCGTCGTCTGTGAACTCTGGTTACCCTGATATCCCTAGATTCACATCCCCGTCTCTTCAATCCATGGAGGCTGCTGGGCTCCGCCTGGTTCTTTCTCTTTCTGTTGCCTACTCTTGAGAGGAACTGCCAAATATTTTCCAGAGTGGCTGTACCAGCAATGTATGAGTGGTTCCGTTTTTCTGAATCCTTGCCAGCATTTGGTGTTATCACTATTTTTGATGTTAGCGATTGTGATAGATGTGTAGTCATGTTTCATTGTGGTTTTACTTTCTTTAATGGGTAATGATGTTGAACATCTTTTCATGTGTTTATTTATCCTCTTTATATCTCCTTTGGTGACATGTATGTGCATATCTTTTGCCCATTTTCTAGGCAGGGTTTTTTTGTTTTGTTTTGTTTTTGCTGCTCACCTTCACTTTTTAAATTTTTTTTTTCCCCCCAGACGGAGTCTCGCTCAGTTGCCAGGCTGGAATGCAGTGGCGCAATCTTGGCTCACTGCAGCTTCTGCCTCCTGGGTTCAAGCGATTCTCCTGCCTCAGCCTCCTGAGTGGCTGGGACTACAGGCGCATGCCACCACGCCCAGCTAATTTTTATATTTTTAGTAGAGACAAGGTTTACCATGTTGGTCAGGCTGGTCTCGATCTCTTGACCTCATGATCTGCCCACCTTGGCCTCCCAAAGTGCTGGGATTATAGGCATGAGCCACTGCGCCCAGCAACTTTTTTCATTTTTTAAATTTTTTTTATTTTTTTAAGACAGTCTCACTGTGGCATCCATGCTGGAGTGCAATGGCGTGATCTCGGTTCACTGCAACCTCTGCCCCCCGGGTTCAAGTGATTCTCCTGCCTCCACCTCTTAAGTAGCTGGGACTACAGGCATGTGCCACCTGGCTAATTTTTGTATTTTTAGTAGAGACAGGGTTTCACCATGTTGGCCAGGCTGGTCTCGAACTCCTGACCTCAGGTGATCTGCCTGCCTTGGCCTCCCAAAGTGCTGGGATTACAGGTGTGAGCCACCGCACCTGGCCCACTTTTTAAAATATATATACAATGTTTTCTTTATTTTTTTATAAAAGAGTCTTGCTGTGTTGCTGAGGCTGGTTTGGAACTCCTGGCCTCAAGCAGTTCTCCTACCTTGGCCTCCCAAAATGCTGGGATTACAGGTATGAGACCCTGCACCCAGCCATCCTTCACTTTTGATATATAGGTTTGCTGGTATAGATTTCTGGGGTAGAAATCACTTAAAAATTGTAAAGGTCATGCCCCATAGTCTTCTTCCTTTCAGTTACAAAGTTCTTCCCTTCTCACTGTTGAGGACTCTCCTGTCAGCTCTTGAGACATCCTTAGCTGTTCTGGCTGCTGAGTCTTCCTAGGCCTCTCCGACTCCTCTTCGGAGCTCACACATAATTCTCAGAATCCATAATGACTGCCTTTCAGTGTGATACCTTGGCTTGTTTGGCTATGATTACAACAAAAACATGGTCGTAATGACAAGTTGTGTCCTTATTTTATTTCTGTTATAAGCTACAGGTCAAAGGGGATAGCTTGCGGGGTACAATAATTCACAGAGAAGAAGTACAAGAATGTTCCTGGATAGAAATGCAAGTCATTTTGATACCTTACTTTTTTGTTCTAATTGTTGATGCTTGGTCATCATTATCATTGTCTGCAAGTGCTGAGGTGTTGGATTTTTTGAAGAAATTTAACAAGTGAGAATGTTTATTCCTTGGCTCCTTGGTGGATAGCTCAGGCCTGGGTGTGTAATGTTTCAGCAACGTTAGTGATGTTTCTGCCGTCTTGACTTGTAGGTGGAAGCCTCTTCGGCCTGCTGAGCAAGAACAATCGTTTTGGTAGAAATCCAGTTGTGCTGTTGGGCATCCTGGTGCACTTTATAGCTTTTTATCTAATATTTCTCAACATGCCTGGAGATGCCCCGATTGCTCCTGTTAAAGGAACTGACAGCAGTGCTTACATCAAATCCAGGTATAGTGGCTGTCATTTCTCTAGTCACTTGAGGACGGGTGGGAGGTAACGGATGGCTAGATATTGAAAGTGGAGCAGTTAATCCTCTTCAGAGAGCTTGGTGTCTCTCTAAGGTCATCTGTCAAGTGTTCATGGAGTCAGACTGAGTTTAAATAGGAATCCTTAGAGAATCCTAAGTTATTTTTGTAATGGTTGGTTTTAACCTTTTCCCCCCCTAAATCTTTTTCTTGATCCTTGAAGGAGCACATGAGTATCTGATTTGAATTTTTTATCTCTGCTTCTTGAGCAGTGAAATATCCAGATATTAGGGTCTGTAGGAAGAATAAAGAGGAGCGAGGGAAAACCTGGCAACTGGGGAGGCCATTCAGTCCTTCCAGAGCAGTTTATATAATGTTTGAGGATATTGGTTTAGCTCATTCAACTCTCAAGTTCATTATAAATGCAGACATTTATGTCCAGCTCCACAAATCCAAGGGGAGCCCAGCCCACAAAACTATACAAACTGAGTATATCGCATCTGAAAATCTGAAATCCAGCATGCTCCAAAATCGGAAACTTTTCGAGGGCCAACACGATGCTCAAAGGGAAGTGCTTATTAGAACATTTCAGATTACAGATTTTCAGATTAAAAATACCTAACTGGTCAGTATAATGCAGGTGTTCCAAAATCTGAAAAGAAGATTTGAAACACTTCTGGTCTTGATAAGGGATACTCAACCTGCGTTTTCTTCACAAATGGTTGAGACCAGAGTTTGTTAGAATGTAAAGGTGTGTGCATTTGAGCACAAATTCTTACCTTGTAATTTCTAGTCTTTATTTATTTATTTATTTATTTATTGTGTTTTGTGGGAAGACGAGGCCCACTGCTGTCTGCAAGCTAGAATACAAGGGCGCGATCTCACTCACTGCAACCTCACCTTCCGGGTTCAAGCAGTTACTGAGTTGCGGCTCAGCTCCCGAAGGTGCGCGGGAGCTCGCTCACTGCAACTCCGCGCTCCGGTTTCAAGTGATTCGCCTTGCCTCAGCCTCTCCGAGTAGTGGCAATACAGGCACGTGGCCTATGCCAGCTATTTTTGGATTTTTTAGGGGAGGTGGGGTTTTGCGCTGTTGGCCAGGCTGGTCTCAGCTCCGAAGGTGCCTCAAGTTGATCGCCGACCTCAGGCCGTCCAAAAGTGCTGGGATTCCAGCAGAGCCGCGACCGAGCGCGCAGCTGTCGTTCTTTATTTTTTGTTTCATAGGATTTAAGAAACCGTGCAGGTAGAAGTGCTGATGGGTGTTGGGTTGGCTTGTATAGTTTTAAAGATGCGCGCCAAGCAGTATGGCCATGATACTATTTGATTGATGTTTCGTCAGCGAAAGAAAGTGCACGATCTCATGCAGTGCGCTCGTTGCTCGTTGGAGGACAGCTGGGCTGGTGTTACGGACTGACCGAGGGCGGCTGTAGGTATCTAAGGCTTGGGGGCTGGCGTCAGGCTGAGACTCAGGTCGCCCCCCAGGACATTTGCGGATTGATCAAGCTGGTCTCGTTGCGAGGGGATGAGTTCTGTTCAGATTCGGCCGATTGTGTCTTGTAGGCGTACAGTGGGGAGATTCCTTTGGAGTGATTTAGGCGTTGGTCCTTCGGTTAGGTATGATGGTGTGTAGAGGTGTGGAATGGTTAGTATTTCTTGTATATAACTTTTTATTTGATAGAGGCTCGTGCAGCGAGTGGGAGTGGCGAGAGTAGCACAGAATCGTTGACGGTCCCGGTAGGCATTCTCCTGACTCTTCTAGGGTGTCAAGCAGAGTGTCTGCCTGGCCGTAGAGCTGTCGCGGACGGGGCGACAACGGTAAGCGCCTGAGTATGTACAGGCACACACGAGCCAGAGCGGCTCTGTGCTAAGTTTTGGTGGGGTGTGTTGTGTTCTTCTTTTGTTAGCGAGCAGAATGGTATACGCCGCACGTGGTCGAGGGCTGTGCTCGAAATTATGATGCCGGCAGGGGGGGGGTGCCGACCCGCCTTGGGCGTTGACCAAGAGCGTACGAGGGGAGTATGATGACGGTGAACAGGCAGGCATGGCGTGATTTTTGTTGGTTGTTTTTTTTTTTTAGGACAAAGTCGATGTAGAGTGGGGGGCGCGGCGTAGGCTAGGATGACGATGTCAGCCGGCGAGTGACCTTGGGAGGCCAAGGGCGGGCAGATCACGGTGAAGAGGGTCACAAGGATTGGACCATCGCGTGGCTAATGTATGTGAAAGCCATCGTGCGTATCTAAAAAATACGAGAAGGGAAGAGATAGGTGTAGCCGGGGCGGGTGGAGGTTAGGCCCGAGGCTGTGGTGCCCAGGGCTACTCGGATCGAAGCTGGAGGGC